CATAAAGTGCTTGCTTGACTGCTGCGCCCTCATCCTGCCTGCCACTGAACTCCACAATCCAAAATAAACACCTCCTGTACAGCTAAATCCCTCACCCAGCTTTCAGAGCCTGGAAAGATGCAACAGCATCAGGAAGGTGGGTAGCCAGGCTCAAGTTTGAGTCAGAGGCAGACACGTATTGGATAACTAACAGGAAAGCCACTAAAAATAGCACTGGGATTCCTGCAGAGGCAGGACTTAAAAAAAATATTGACCCCCACCTACCAAAGACTTTGTCTTAGAGACCTCAGGAGGAAACACAGCCCCAGCTCTCATAAAAGCCTTGTAACAATGAGATCAGGCACTTGGCAGCTGTAGTCAGTTGTGCGTGAGAAACTGAAGAAAGAAACCAAAACCAATTTTAATAGTTACATAGAAAGTTCTCTGTCTTTAGGTTACAGACTCTCAAACAAAGCTGGCAGAAGACATTCCAGATAGGTCAGAAATGCATTAATTCATGTACAAAACACTTCAAAACATGTGTCATGTTCCATCCTCATAAAACCACCTCGAAGTCATCTACAATGAACTGAATGTAGCAGAAACTACATCACTTGTGTGGTGAAGAGAGCAGTAGTCAACATGGAAAGTTAAATGTATAAATAGCAAAACATTCAAGTATCTAAAGTGCAGATACCAGGAGGGTGGTTGACGTAATACTATGGGATTCTGTGCTTAATCTTTTGTTATTCTCTTTTCATGTAAGATTTCTTAATCTCCTTCTGGCTGTGCTCTGCTCATGTGTAATAAACTCTATAATTTATCCCTCTTCATGGTAAAGTCTCACAGTCAAAAAGCACTTCGCAGTTAAAGCCTCCCACTGCCTACTTATAAAGTGCAGATGGGGTTTAAAGTAAACTGAAAGTTTTACCTGAATATGTTAATCTAAATTACAGGGCACACATTCCCCCAAAATGCATGTGTGTTCCTGAATTCTGATGTCTACTAAAGAAAACAGCATTTGCTGCTCTGTTACAGCTCCTCTGTACTGAATTGTTTCATCACCTGCTATTAAAATGCTGCAATATACCCACAGAGAGAAATAGGTTTTTAAAAACAGTATTACTGAAATTCTTGAATGCAGATTAAACAAGTTGATAGTGACTGCAAGAAACACTGGTAGTATTGGGAGGATTTTCTGTTGCTGAGATTCACATGGAAGCGTGTGATGAAAAAGACATTCAGCTGCTTGAAATGAAGTGTTAGAAGCAAATCCACAATTGGCCAAAAGAATCAACTGCATTTCAAATCATACAATTCAGCTTTAGCCAAGCAAGACAGCACAGAACAGGATTAAAAGAGAATTAAAACCAATTAAAGAGCAATATTTTCCACTATATCCCTCCCAGAAGATTTCACTACACCTGTCTGAAGTCCTCCTACTCGAATCTCTCTCTAAAGCAGTCAGATTTACACAAAGATAAGTGGCAGACTGAGCACAGGCTGTGGGTGACAGACACCAAATAAGTGAGGATATTTACAGGCAGTGAACAGAGTCAGCCAGGAATCAATACAGCACCATTGCCACTCGCAGGGGCTGCACAGGCTAAGTCAGGCTGCTCTGATGTGCACACATTCAGGCAAATGTAATTAAGGGCACAGGTATGGGACAATACATGACAGAGGTAGACTGGCAAGTGGTAACACTGCATATTCCAACTCTGACTGGAGGGAGATTTTAAACACCCATGGGCAGCACAGCAGCCCTGTGCTAACAGAAAAACCATTAAGATGAAGTCTGGAGATGACTAATGCTGCCTTTGAAACATGGATGAGATTCCTCCTCACTGGAGACTGCATATCTTGAGCTGTATCTAAAAAATCTAAATTCCCTGAATTAGGTATGGGTTTGATCTGTACTGTGAGAGTAATTTTGAAGTTTTTCCTCTTATTTCCAAGAAAGAATTTTTCAGCTCATGGGCTGCAGAGCTACTTACTGCTCATCTGTGTCAAATTGATGGTCGTATGGTGGCAGATTTCCTGGTTCTTTATAGATGTTAAGGAATAGAAGAGTTCATTGTTATCAAGTCTGTCCAACACATCCTGCAGACACCTGCTACTTCCATAATTCTCTTTAAGTAGCTGTTGTCTGAATCCTACTCAAAAAATAGGATCACACATGACTTACTAAGATGTAGTGCAGGAAAAGTTTGTGATATACTGCTCTAAGGTCTGTAGAAAAAAAATTAACATTGTCACACAAGCGATATAAATAAAAAGCAATTAACAGACATTTAACACATTACAGGAGTAAGAATGTATGTCTTTCCAGGCACTAGAAAAGGCAGTCTGAATTTCAATGACATGTAGTTAAAACTGGCTTGTCATTTTCAATATCACTCACAAGATCAGTAAGGCAGTCAAACCAAAGCACCCATGATTTCAGATAATTTATGCTAAGAAGGATACACAAGTAAATTACATTCCTCAGGGTCTAATATAACCTGTTGAAAGAAAGGCTGCTGGCAGGGTGGTAGAGGTGTGCATGTTTTTGCTCATTTGGAATGCAGGAAGAAGCCAATTTGCATTTTTTTAAGAAAAAAACAACAACAAACAATACATAAATGAAAAACTAACAGCACTATAAAATTAAAATATGAGCTTTTCAATTTTTTAAAATCCTGACAATTCAATCCAACAATATCTGAACCCCCATCACAGACTTTCTAGTTGCAAATGTGTAGAAGAATCAACAAATATCTTTAAAATATACCATTGTAGAGATGCCTGATCAATAAGAAAGTGTCTTTTCAAGACACTCTGGTTCTTGCAATTAATTAACTAAACAGAGTGCCCAGATCCTTCAGTAACAAAACTAAAATACTAAAATACAGGTTTTTTTCCATTTCCATAAAAACAGTATCATACCAAGCAGATGTCACAAGTGACTGTTGATATGTCTTGCTGCTGCGCTGCTTCTCTTACGAGACTCCTTCCCTAACTTATGAACACATGTAAACATACTAAATAAGAAAATGGGATACAGTGTGTGGAAAAATGCTTGAGAAAGCCTGGAGGTGAACAGGCAGGCACTTATTTTCAAGCTACATTTTTGAAACAGTTCTCATATCTCTTTACAAAAAATATACCTTCTGGATATTTAAAGACACCTGATACATAGCAGCTTTTTCCTACCTCTGTGCTGGTTCTGCTAACTTCTTTCAGTCTGAAGAGCACTCAAATTTCCCAGCACAGATGCTGACCTTGTCTATGGAACTGGAGCCTACTGATATTAAAGCTGATCTAAAATTACCCTTCAGGTGTCTTTATAGGGTGTACAGGTTGAAATGCACTGCTATCAGCATGTGCTTAAACCTCATTGAACTCACTCAAGGTTAAGTATCTTTTTCCAATGCAGTTTGGGGTTATTTGTTCTCAAGGGTCCAGGCTTGTAACATAACAGAAGCCACATTTTAACTTGGAGGTTCACATCAGTAGAAGAGTTACTGATGGATGTGAGAGATGCAGAGAAACTGCAAACAGAGAAAAGAGACCATTTTAGCCAGCACTGATTGTTCAATAGTCAGGACTCTGAGACCTGGGAAACAGCTTTACAGCTATATTACCATGCTTTGCTGCTGTGAGCACATTGTAAATCAATACAAAATGGGATTTTGGATCAGTCTGACTGTTTCCCTTTTTTTCTTCATGGCAAGAAGGATAAATCCCTCAGAGCATCAAAAGCAGACAAAAATTGCATAGAATGGCGGCAAGTAGGCACAGAGATAGACTCTGTTTGTTGCCCCAAAATTAAGAGCATCAAAATCACAGCCTTCATATGAGGTATATTTTGAAAAACTGTGTTAGTTTAATGTTTTCTTTAAATTTCCTTACTAACTTTCATCAGCTGGGTAGATAAAAATTGCAGAAAACAGGGTTTGCCCCCCTCATTAATCCTCTAAGTCTGGTTTCAAAAGGTGGTCAGCTTTCTCATAGACTAAGCACATGACAGATTAAAAGCAAGCAAAGCACTGCCCCTTGTATTTGGAGATATCTTCAGCCTCAGTCTTGTCCTTTACTCCTCCTTCAAAGTTTCTGAATAAGAAGATGCTTCTGAAAGTCCCACCAATATTTAAGACTTGTAAAGTAAGAAGATGATGAATTCAAGGCTGAATAGAGCACATCTAAGGTGTTTGTCAATCTGTAGTATGAATGGGAAATGGGAAGTTAAAGAAAGGGATAGAAAAGTTAGGTATGTAAATAACAATTACAAAAAAATAAAAAAGAGTGTTTCTTATGTTTCTACAGACACTCCACATGTTTGCAATGAATCACTGGTCAAAAAATTAGTAACTGAGCTCCCAGACGCAAACAGGAACACCTATAATGCTTCACCATTTCAGTATCTTCTGCTGGTCACACTTTGGGACATCCTCCATGATGAACCTCTCAGTTGGACTAAAGAGAAAACAAGCTTGGTACAAAATGAACTAAATGGCACAGGTATCCCAACCGTTTTTCTTAAAATATAAATTGCAAAGGAGGCTGTGGAAAAGCAAGGTAGAATAAAGGCCTAAATCAACCATTACATACTTCATTAATTGTATAAAAGTGCAAGGTTAAAGTAGTTTGGGTTAAGCATTCAGTTCACTATAGGCCACGCAGATGCTTAGCTTGGCCATCAATGGCCTAGTTTTGTCATTTAGTTACTAATATTAGTTTAGACCACAGAAAGAACAAAAACTGAATGAAAAAACGTATGCAATCCACTTCAAAAATGGTTAGTTTTCTGTGACCAGCACGAAATATTACCTCAATATCATCAGCTGTACAATATATACATAACACCCTTGTGTCTTAATCTTTGTTTTAACAACTTAGAATAAAGCTGTACTAAGTGCTATTTCCCTAGTGTGCCAGCTCTTTGCTCTGTTCCAGCCGACTGGCCTCGCAGCACAGAGAAGTCCTTTAATAGCAATGGTACTTGGATTGATCCAGAATTTTGACACTTCAGCCAGAGCAACTGTTGAAATGCTTTATTCAGCCAGGCCAGGTGATCGCGTGCGGCTGCCCAGGGCTCAGTCAAAGGTTCTTGGGTGGCTCCACAAGAAGAACAGGCCATATTCCAAAAAGAAACTGTCAAAAGAAAAATAGGAATAGAGGAAAGATTCCTTGGAACATTGTTTCTTGGAACTGAAACCAAAAACTATTGAACATATTCTAATGAGAGGATGAAAGGGGAATGGCTTTAAAATGAAAGAGATTAAGTTCAGATTGGATTTTAAGAAGAAATTCTTTACTTTGAGGGTGGTGAAATACTGGCACGGATTACCCAGAGAAGCTGTGGATGTTCCACTCCTGGAAATGTTCAAGGCCAGGTTGCAGTACTCTAAGGGCTCTGAGTAACCTGGTCTAGGGGAAAGGGTCCCTTCCCATGGCAGGGGGCTGAAACTAGATAATCATTGAGGTCCCTTCCACTCCAAACCATTCTGTGATTCTAGGAAAATTTCAACTCCATTTCTTGGGATGTAAGCAGAAGTCAAAGACAGTACCCTAACAGGCATAATTATTGAGCCCCACCAACAGTTCAAAGCACAAGATATCCAAATGTACATTAATAAATACAAAATACAGCTTGCTTACCTTCACCTTTGGCCTGTGTTTCAGGAAAAGTGTCCTTGTATATAAACTGAGGAGAAGGAAAAAAGCATGCTTAAAATTTCAAGTATAAGACAGCATATAAAATAAGGATGTCCTGATCCCAGTTTTATTTTCCAACTATAAAAGAATTGTTTCTGTGATTGCAGAGCTACCCATTCTGCCTAGATTTAGTCAATACAGGAGATGTTAACTCCCAGTAAATCCCCCTGTAGCAGACTAATCAGCAAAATAATTTACCTTATCACCTATGTGGGGAGAAAGAAAGAAACCCTGAGAGGTAAAAAAAAAAAACAACCAAAAAACCCCCAGGGACTGGGGTCTGTCATTTTAGAAGGATGAAATTAAATCAGTGTACCACAAAATACAGCAGATGTTAAAGGAGGGAAAAAGCAGCATAGCTTGATTCTGTATCTTATTTTTGTTCTTAGATGCTTTCTCCTCTCAGTCAATCTTTTCCTGTGAACAACCTCACATTTTTTTAAAAGGCAATGCCACTTTGTGGCATGTTGGAAAAACCTTGCCTATGCTTGATTCCTGCAAGGAATTTTCTTTAAAATATTACCTCAAGCTTTTTAGAGTAGCAGACAACCTGTAAACTAAAATGGAGCAACTGTTTTCCATATACCTTGACATATTTCTATGTATATATACATTTACATATATGTAGGCAAATATGTTTGCATATATATACTCAAAATGTAACAACGAGCTATCAGGTCATCTAATGGAAATGTACTTATCCTTGCATTTTCCTTTTATTAGGTATTTTAACATCTGACAAAAAAGGTGAATACCATGTTAGATGTAGAAAAATTGATATATAATCAAGTCCTCAACTAAATAGGATATAAACATAAAACAGACATTCTCTTTGTTATTGTTAAGTGGTAAAATTTTATTTAATTAGCTGATGAACAAACTGCAGAAATTCTTCAGATTTCAGTTTACATTCTATTCTTGCCCCTGGTTCCACTAGATGGTGGTATAGAGCAAAAATGTGAAAAATCTGCTGGCTCCAGACTTGCTAACTTACATTCTTGTTTAAGCCCTTTTGAGAACAGCTCCTCTAAAACTACTTCAGCCATCACCTTGTGCACTACAGCAGTATCCCTGCTGGTCTTCAGGAGTGAGGGTGCCTATCAAAAGATCTGTTAAGCTCCTAAATTTAAACATGTTTAAGTACTTCAGGATTGCTGCTCAAGAACAGACAAGTATTAATGGCTTACATTCTGAAATTAATATACTGTCAAATAGTTTTGGTTTAACTGCCACAGGCTTCCCATTTCTGAATTAAATTTTCTTGAAGAATCATGACTATTTAAAGACTAGTGATTACATTTTGAAAAATATAGATTAGTTTTAAGAGAGTTTTTAGATCAGTTACAAAGAGGAAAGAAAATAGTACACCAGTTTAATAAGTCATTTTCCTGCTCTTCTGGATGGTACAACATTCTGAAAACTTGTAAGATCTCAGTGAACTTCCAGTTTAGAAAACATTTCTTACCTTAGAAGGATATGAAGGTAAGAACCCAGGCCTGTGAGAATATGCCACCATGCATGAAATTGTGTCACAGCTCCCACCACAGGAGGCATCTTCTCTCGTAACGCTCTGAAAGAAAGGAATACCATGCAATGGAATAGTTTTTCCCAGCTAAGCAATCTCAAATCACAATGTTGTATTATCAGATCACACATTATTGTTTCCATATCTCAGGCATGTGCTGGATAGGTGAGGCTTTATGGAGTCAGGCTTTCAGCAGGTGAGGAGCAGCAGTTATAGTTTACACGGCCAGTACACAAAAAAAATCAGCAAACCGACTTTCTTATACATTTAAAGAAAACAGACATTTCCTCATATGATGAGTGACCAATTGCTTCTGGACTCAAATTTCAGGGAATATATTTATGGCATCCTACAGTCCCAAATGAATCCTACCATTCTCCTCCACAAAACCCAATAGGATGAAATGTTGAGTTTAAGGTCCAAGAGAGGAAATGAGATTTATCGGACATCATCACTTTAAATCTGGCAATCACACCACCTATTCTGCAGGTACATGGAAGCTCAACTTGCCTTTATCTGTTGGACTCCTAAAACAGGGACAAAATGGGTGTTTAGTGAGGAAGCAATTAAAGGAGAGGGTCTGAAATATTCCACCAACATGCTTTGTATTTTGTAGTTATGGGATGTGAGCAACTTGGGAAGAGGCTAAGGGATGGAGATAAAGAAATAAAGAGAAGGAACTACATTGCTCTTATTTCTCCTGCTCATTAGGCTTCTGCAGATAATGCCTATTTTGGTAGATGATGGACGAACTGTTTGCATCTGCTGGTCTTTTTTTCCACTTTAATTTCACTTGTCAAAGTAAAAAGTGGAAAACAATGATTGCAAGTGTTAGGCAAGAAAAATCTGCAGCTCCTGGAATACGTCCTTACTGCTTGATATTACAGTGCTTGGTCCAAAGCTGCTCAGTCACAAATATTAGCACAAAGCTCCAATTGAGTCAGCCCAGCAATGACACAGTGGAACATGCAGCCTGGCACAACCTTTGAGCCTTTGGATGGCAGGAAATTTCAAAGCTCAAATTCAGAAATGTGTGGTTCCAACCAGAGAAACTGAGTGCTACAGATTTTTTGCTATTTTGATTTTTTTTTAAAATAAGCCGCAGATTTACTGAAATATGGAACAAAAAACCCTGAATCAAAACCCAGTTTTGAACTTTAAAACCAAACAGAGCAGGTAGGTGGATGATTCACAAGCTAGACATTCAGAGAATAAAGAATTTCAAGGGATTTAAATGTATTTTCTCCAAAGGTTCAAATTATAATACCTCCTGGAGAAATCCAAGGCTCTGCAGATGTCTGACTAAAGCTAGTAAACAAGCTTTTTTTTTTTTTCTAGCACCATAACCACACAAGTATTACAGGAAAGATGCTAACACTTTTTCCCCTTATGAAATGAGGATGAAGAAAGTGCCTCAGCAGCTGGTGTCATTTTTGGGCCTAGGAACCAGTTCAAAATCTCCATGGACCCACAGCAGCTCAGCAGGTTTGGTGAATTGGAGGTTGTGATCTCACCAGTGACGTGAGGCAGCTGCAAAAATCAACCCTGATGCCAATATTTGCAAAGTAACTCTAAACCCAGGCCAAATTATTGGGCCAAACCCAGCACAGTTACTTGTGCTGCCAAATAACTACTCTATCCCATCTGTATCAAGTGCTCCTAGGGATGAGGATCATGTATTATATTAATTTTTAAGAAGTTTAAAGAATATTCTGTTGGAATTAACTTTCAGTTGGCTTAACCTAGCACAGGTATTGAAAAGCCAGAAGGGATGGAAAACTTAGACTTCTTTACAGCACACTGTTATTTGGCTCTGACAAACCAGCCTACTAGGACAATTCTGTACAACACAGATTCCGTGGCATAACAGTGTTTCAAACTGTCAAAAATGTATTTTTCTGAATGCTGGGATTAACCTTTCCATCTCCTCCAGCTTGCTGAACAACACATGAATTGCAACTAAGTGCCGTTCATTGGTAACGTGGATATTGAAATAGGTATTTCTTGAACAGTTGTAGTAGAAGTAGTTCTGCATATCTTCTTTAAAATGCAGAACTACTGGTTTTGATATTTTTGTAGGAAATGGAAGAGCAGAAAAAAACCCCAAATGATTAGGATAAATACACGTTCAGATGAAATCAAGTCTGAATAGCAGGCTTTAGTCATCCACATATCCTCAAAATTACTTGTGACATTATTTATCTCAGTTTAATTTGAAGTTAAAGAGAAATTAAAAAAAATCTATAAATGGTTAAAAAAAAATCTAAAAACTCCTGTTGAGTGCTGACTCTGGTCATGAGCAATCTGCATAAAACCTCATGGATGTTTTGTAGGCAGTATACCATACATACAATGAGATGGACTTGAATATGCACCTCAGAAATAATCCAATCTTTATACTTAAATGCTATTAGGAGCTATCCAGACAAGTGAAAGGACTCACCTCAATTTATCACAGAAAATGTTGTCCACATTCCAGAGAAAAAATCCCATTAAAAATACAGTCAAAGATGTATATCCTAAACCTCTAAGCCATGGGTATACCCTAGGGAGAGAAATAATGCAAAGTTTAGTTCAGAATGGTTAAAGATACAGAAATATACTAATATATACTACACTAAATATGTGTAAATACAGAAATGCTGTTATATGTAAATAAAATTATTTATCAATTTGGTTTTTCCCTCAAAAGAAAAAAATATCAACTTCAAATTTCATCTGTTTAAATATTGTATTTTACTTCTTCTCTCTCCTGATCTCATATTCTCTGACACTGTTCTTTTACTTTTACTTCTATAATGATATATGTTTTCCTAAATAATGCACTCTCTGAGTGAAGCCAAAAAGTGGGAAAACTAAAGTTGGCTAAAAGGTACTAATTCTTCAGTCCTGTGTATATTCTTTCATTAAATAAAAAAAAAAGAAAAAAAGATCTCTGTTACCAAGTAGGACTCTCTTTCCCAAAAGAGGAGGGTGTCTGCCAAGAGATGATATCTCTATACTAGGGAATTTGTATATATATGGTCTTTCAAAATTACTCCTTTGTCAATGTAGACCACCATGACAAACAACTAACCAAATGAATGGTATTAAACCCCAGTACTTTATGTTCATCTTTTAGTTGAATGCTACTGGGAATAGAAAAATGTCAATTTAATTTTAGCAGGAAAAAAATTTTCTTCAAGATATGTAAAACACACTGAAGAATAAGATGCAAGAAAGTGCATCATTAATAAATTTACTTTTCCAATCTACATTCGGGTTGGACCATGAAATTCTAAACTTCCTACATGGAAGGCTGCTTTCCCACTAGTAAGACAAGTCCAAAAGCAAAACCAAATCCAACCCTGAAAGGCTGCCATGAAATACTGTCCAAGTTATTTTTAAGCATTATGAATGCACAGTTGACATTCTGGGTTAAAACACATTCTTGAGCTGCCTTTTCCTCCACTGTGTGTGTTACAGCACATTTCAGAGCTGTGAGCACTGGGAACCAAAATGCGCAAAACACAACAGGTAGCTTGCCCTCTGGAGGAGGCTCTAATCAGATACAAGCTGTACATATTTACAAATTGACTGCCAATATAAACTAGCAAAATTATTATTGGTTTAGTCTAATAAATGTGTGGAGCACCAGGCAGTACATGGCCAAGACTACACTGTAATATTACCCCCTCAGTGCTCCAGAGGCATAAGCAAGACCATGATACAACAGAGCACTAAATAGTATATTAGACATGCTGGTAATTAGGTAATTATAGCTGGAATTATTGAGGAATAAACAGTGGTGTTTTGTGAAGGAATCAACTGGGACCACTTATTAACAGGGAACATGCTTTGTGAACAGAAAACAACATTTGCCCAGTTGCAATCTTGGGAGGAAACATACCTAAGAAAGGGATGAAAAGTGTGGGGGGAAGAGGCAGGAAGAGGAACAACTGGTGAGGATAGGATGAGATAGTAGCCTGGAAGGAATAACGTGCTGTTCTTTGGAATTTTTACTGTAATCTCAGAGTGACTTCAAAGCCCACACTAAGAAATGTGAGTGATAGGAAGTGAAGATACAAAAAACAAGCAGAAATCAGGGTCAGTATGTAAGCTGGAAAAGGCTTGGCCAAGTGCTAGCACTACTGATGGAAATATAGGAATATGTTCTAGCCGTGCAGAGAAAGTAAACCCAAAAGTGTGCTTGGGGATGAATTTTAGAGAAAATAAAGGGTACCTTCAGGTTGGCAGAGCTTCTCTAGCAGAACTAATTTAAAATTAGTAGTAGTTTAGTTAAAATTTAGAAGTAGTTTAAACCTACTTCTCTTCCCATCCCAACTTTCTACCCAGTTTGCATAGTAACACCAACAAGGGAAGTAAGTCTTTGTAGGGCGCTGATTCAATGAAGTGATCAAGCTAATTAAGAATATACACTCCAAGCCCCTAGAACTGAAGTGAAAAGGACTTCAGACACAGACTTGGCTGGAGCAAAACAATCAGTGATACTTTGAGAGGGAAGGTGGTGATGTTATTGATAAAGACAGAAGACTATGAAATGTTTCAGAAATAATGAGAAAGCGTAACTGTGGAATTTGCAGATGTAGAAAAATAGAAGGCCCGAGAGTTTGTCTACAGACAGAAAGAAATTTAATCTAAAAGACTAGAATTGTGTTAAATCCTTGAATAAGGACAAAATTAAAATGACTTCAATTTGATTCAATTTAGTTCCCCTTGGAGGTGAATTAACATAGTATCACTTAAGATCTCTAGGCGAGGATTAAAATTTCCAGTCCATAGGTTTAAAAAGTGCCTTTAAATTGATGATTGCTTCTGAAGCTGCAACACACTATCAGTTTTAAGTTCTTGCTTAATAAAAATGCCTGTGAACATTTGCACTTGGTCTGTGGGAATTTCTTGGGGAAAGCCAAACCACATGAACTGAAACGGCAATTGGAAGGTGATTCAATGAATGTACTTGATCCTTGTGAGTCTCTTCCAACTCAGAATATTTGGGGATTCTATAATACTTCAAATTCACATTTTGTTAAAGTCTTCCTTGTGTTCCTGAACAGACACATGTGGAACTTGAAACAAAGTTTAACAAAAAGCACATTTAAAATGACAACAGAAATAAGTGATTTTCAGAAGCAATCCCCAAATGCATGAGAACACCAAATATTCACAGGAGATAGACAGAAATGGGCAACCAACTGAGCCCCTGAGAGCTAAAGGTATGTGTTTACTTCAATATGATTAAATTCCATTTTCCTTCCATTTACCTCCCTTTTACAGACCATTTTTAGAGTCTGTGCTCTAAAGATTCTAATGCTTCTCAGTGTCTCCTAGCACTTTTAATACCTTTTGTTTGTTACAGTTTTAATTTCAATTTCATAGCATTATGCCTGACTTTATCCAATCAAAACTCTAAGAAAAACTATCATGTGTCATTATTTTTTAAATACTTGAGCAGGGAAGAGGAAAGGAAATTATTAAGTGATGTTTCCACTCTCAAGTCTTAGTCTTAGCACTCTCCCAGTATTATCGTTAGAGTTTGGACACTAGCAATAGATTTCACACTACCCAGCAATAAGAAGACCAACTCCATTTCTGTTTAAATCCCAGTCTAACAGTTGAAGCCACCAGCAGAACACCTGACAGTAAACACTGATCATAAGTGTAGAAATCTCAGTTTAGTTTAATGTTATCACAGTGGCTTCAAAAAAGTGCAAGGTGATGAGCCAAACCCTTTTAACCCAGGGGAGCCCAGGAGCTAACATTATGTACCTGGTTAAAGAAATTCTCCCATTGCCAATTTCTCATGTTAAACTGACAAAAAAAAAGCTGCAAATACTATGTTGTAACTTACAATGCTGAATTAAATGGTTACTTACCATAACACTATATAAACAGATCTTAGAACTATGATGGAAACTAGTGTTCCATACATGATCTGAAAATAAAAAAAGAGATAAAGTTCAGCAGTTGGGTTCAAGAGACCTTATAAAATACTCCAGGAGTAAGAACTTTTGAAGCCTGTGTTTGTTTGTTATTTTATTTTTACATCTCAGGAAAATAGCATTCCTTCTAACTTCATCTCCAGAAAGCCTTCTGTTAAAGTTTCAAATAAAAGTGTGATTACAAAGCATGTCCTTTATACAATTACAGGCAAAGTCAGTTCCACTGTTCTGAATTAGAAAGCAAACACTAGATGGCACTCAGAAAGCATCCTGAAATCAAAAATGGTAACCAACCCCTATTATCTCTTCTCTCTCTGTGCATTTTAGCCCAGGATTGTGCAAGCATCAGCTAAAGCTGTTTTTGAAAGCTATACTTCTTTCATTGATACTTGATTAATATGTTTTCCTGAAAGTAAACACCTGAATAGACTATGTGCTATTCCCACACTGAGCATCACTATGGGGCAAAACTTTCCAGGAAGCATTTCAAGCAACTCTTGCAGATTGTTTGGATCCAATCTAATTATATAGTGGGAAGGCTGCACAGTCTGAAAAGATCCATGAGCAAAATCTGACTCACTGTAGGCTTGATGAATTTGAATGCCATCACCTGACTTATAAAAAGTCAAAGTAATAATTTTTTTTTGCCTTGTGATCTTTAAATCACTCTCTTTTATGCACAAACTTAAAATCCATGTAACAGCACCTCCAAGACATAAAGATTAAAGAAGAGAAAAAAATGTAGCCAGTCATGCCTGCAAGTGATGCAGAAGTCACTGCAGCAGAGAGGATTTTTAGACACTGGTGACATTCAATTACTTTCTTTATCTTTTATTCTGAACACTGGTTTCCTTCAGCCAAAAGCCAATTTGTTCCAAGCAGCTGTGCTTTGCTCTTTTTGCCTCTCTCCAGTGGCCCACAGGCCTTCCAGTATTTTTTTGTTCCTTGTTCACTGACTTAACTTTCTCATCTTGCTTCTAGTTAGCTACCATCTAATTCCACCTTTGTTTAACATGAAATAGAAAAATTATAAACCTTTGCTGTCTTTTTTTGAAAGCCACTAAACCTCACAGAAAAAGTGTACATACAAACCAGTGTCCTTACCGTGTTCTAGTGACCTCCTCATATCCCTCCTTCTTTTCCACTGTCTTTGAGACAGGGACTGCCTCTCAATCTGCTCTAACTGGGGCATTCAGATCCTACTATCCTACAAGCATGTCTAGTCATCTCACATAAAACAGGTTACTGTAATAATGCAAAGTGAAACCTTCCTTCCATAAGTCCATAAAGGCAAATCTGCAAACTCCTTGTAGATTTAAGGATAAGGTTAGTAGTGCACTGTATTATCAGTGCACATATACAGAGCAAGACAGACAACAGAGCCCTTATGTTTGACAACAGGTAAAATAAGCCCAATACTGACTATTCGAAGTCAGTCAGCACAACAGCTCTTCATTTGCATTCAGAACAAGATTAAAGAACTTCAGTAAATAAACTACTACTACTGTGTGTTCTGCTCTATAGAGCTAAACAAAGCAAAACTATTTGAAAGGCTAATTGGTTCTGGCTTGTAATTTATACAAAGCTGTTAGTTAATTCCAGTCCCCTTGCTGGGGTACAGCACGTAAACCAGGAAAAAAAGAAAACCAACACAACCTGCTAGACACAGCCTGAGTATCAAGTGCTTATCAGTCCCAAGCTAAGGGTAGGAAGGGTAGTGCTCAGGTGTGCTAGGTGCTGCCTGCTGGTGCAATTCTTCATTACTGATATTTTACCTAAAAAGATCCCACCACATAAATATATTATCAGCCTCATTTAAAACAGCCCTTTTCATTTTTTCTAATCAAATCCAGCAATTTATTCTAAGAGAGGGATGGTACAGAGGAAGATACTCATAGGAAGGCTCCTCCAGGATCCAAATTACAGTTTGATTTGCTGATTTTCTCCTTCTTAAAATTTCCATCACTAAAGCACTCCTTTGCAGTACAGATATGGGAAAAACCTATCCATTAAGAGCAATTTCTGTCATACACATTAAGGGTTGTGACCACCCTTATGCTTGTACCCAAATTGCTTTTGAATTCTTTGTACAGGGAGTTCAGTAGTGTCAGACTCTGCCTAGAGAAACAGATCTTACAGGCAGCCCAAAGCCCAGGTAAAATGTTACCTTTTTCAGCAGTTGCTAAAAGAGCAAAAGCTAAGAAAAGCTTCCTTTGCAGAGTTTCTGGCTTGATATTTCCTACTGAGTTAATGGCTTGCAGAAGAGGACAGTATTAATGGAGGGAGGAAGGGGGGAAAAAAAAGAAAGAGAACCTTGCAGTGACTGAAGAAAAATATGCCCATCGTTGACACTTCAATTTCTTGCCTTTTCTGCTTCCCCACCCAAACAGGTTGTTAGCAGTAAAACACGTTTGTGTTTAAAAGCCTGTGAAAGCCTGGAACAACAAACTGTTCTGCTCTGCATGCTCCAATCCTCCTCGCTGAAGGTGAGCACCCAGGAGGTGCTGCTGTGATATACAGTAACTGTAGCTGCTCACCTCCCCCAGCTGCTTCTTTAGAGAGCTACACACCAAACTGCACAACTTAGTTCAGATGTCAGGCAGCAGTGCTTACTTTATCTCTTTTACCATCCATGGCTTTACTGTTTTTATCATGGTAAAGCTTTGTTAGGTATTACCCATCCATCCAGAGAAGGACACAGTACAATATTATATAAAAAAAGAAAAATCTGCCTTATTCAAGTTAGCTCAAATTTTTCCATTCCTTTAACTTCTTTTGTCTTTCTTGTCTTTAACTAAGACATCATTTAAATGACAAATGACAACCCAAGCAAGTTTTCTGCTATTTTGTCTCACGCTGCCATTAAACTGTAGGCCAAAGAACATAATTTTACTGCAATTGAAACAAAAGGAAAGATCAGAATCTCGATCTTCTGTTACCACTAGACAGTTCCCTCTTTGCTGTTTCAGTGAATAAAGCTCTGCATATTTCAGCTTTGAAGGTATCTTTACAATTGAGGGAAAAACCCAAAGTCTGATGAAGACACAGTGGATTACCTCATAAGAAGGTGAAATATGAATAACTTCCTAATTCACAAATGGGAAGTAAGCACTTCAGGGCTCAATGTCTGGCAGCATTTTTATTGTGAAGGCAATTAAGCAAATCATACATAAATTCACTTATGTAAGTTAGAAGCAAGGTTGAGAGGGCGAGCATACAAAACTGGTTCTTCATCTACCCTTCTAGTACAGAAAGCAGCAATAATCTACTATTTCCACTTCTCTGTTTCCTCTGCTCCTGGCTTTCTACCTATCTTTGGTTAATGAAGTCAATTTATCAGCCTCAAATATTAGTATTCACATTGGGCACTGTACTGAGAGATTTTGGGTTCTTGGCAACTAGGTTATCTAATACTCCAATCAGCTATCTAAAGACAGTTAAATACTTGAATATGGAAGCTGCATTTGCAATTTGCAACAAAGAAAACTGAGCTCTGCATGGGTTTGGATTTCTGGAGAAGAAATCTGAGCTGAGAGAAAAAGGAAGGACAACCCCAAGACGACTCTGAAACACCAAGTAACTCGGCACAGTTACAGCTGTGTAGTACCACAGGGTCCCTTGACAGCTCCCGAATGAACTAACTCAGATTCACTGGGGTTGGTCCTGTTTAGATGCACGCATGTGATAGCAAAATGACACGCAAGTCACTGCTGCTGTAGAGCTTCTGGGACACTGTCTGCAAAGAAAGTCAAGCTTCCCCTCCAATCACTTGTAGAGTGAACCTTTGGAGAGTCAGAATATCCTTCCTCATTCCTTAAGCTACTGTAGGTAGAAGCACCAGCCAGAATGAAAGCTGTACTCGCTTGGGAAGACATCCCCAAATGAACTGTGTCAGAGTGAAATGTCACTCAAGTTAGTTTTATACCTGCTCATCAGCAGGACAACGACAGAACAGAAAAAGCTCTGTGGTGAAGACATGCCTGAAAAGGTCATTTTGAACAGAATACTGGGGAACCTGAATGTACAGAAAGTAAGAACACATTCCACCAAAAGGCACAATATATTAGCCACAAGCCTACAATTAACTATTGCCTTAGCAGCAGGAGGGACTCTGGAGAGCTATAAGATATCCAGTAGGCCCACACAGATTCCCCAAAATGGTGAATCCTGCAAGTCTGAACAGGTTGTGCCTCGACATAATATATTCTTCATGCAGTTTCAGGCCCCCTTACATACTTCCATACTTCTACATGTTTCATCTTGATTTCACTTTCTTCTTTGCACTTGTATATTTAAAATACCCCTAGAGAAAAAAAAATCTAATAATTTTTTTTATTAAGGCAAATGAAATGCCTTTTCCTGCCATGCTTACTTTCTTCCTCTTACTCAAAGTCACCTGAAGAAGTAAATCCAATACTTGTATTTTACGTCTATCAAAAGTAAAAAAAAAAAAATCCCTGGTCATGTTGTTATGCTGTGAAGAGTGAACACATCCAGGCAACCCCTCCCCTCCTTTTGTGATCTGTGAACAGTTTAGAACAAGAATAGTTTGTATTTGTCCATCAGTGCATCACTTCCATTTTGAATCAGTCCTCATCCTCATCTTCCAGGTATCCCAGTTATCTCTTCATTTCCCCCCAGTACTCAGTGATAACTCTGAACTTTGTATCATCACAAATACCAGCAGTACACTCTTCTTTTTCCTGCTACAGGTTGTTAAAAAAGAAACCAACCAAACAAGTCAGTCCACTACTGATTCCAAGAAAATTCAGGCTTTCTCATAATCTCCTTTAGTAATTTTTCACTAGTCACTACCTTACCCTATTTGCAACTCTCCTAACTCATCTGTTCCTCCAGCTGACTTCTTTTCTCATGGGACACCACAAGAAGATTCTAGAATGCCTATTTTTATTACATCACATTTCCTAACGTAGAAGAAACAGCTATTTAATCTAATTTTCCATTAACCTTTTAATTACTTGTTTGCTAAAATTTGCCTCAAACTGTCACAGCAGATGACTACACAAATAAAACAGGTTTTTAGAACTATCTCCCTATTCACATAACTTGTCCCACTAACTGAACAAGGTTTTTGATCACTCCAAGTGATCAGATATGGCATGCAGCAAGCAGAAAAATCAGGATGGAACATGTTGCTTTGTATGTGACAGCTTCCTAGGCCTTATCATATTAGGAGGAGGCTACTTGTAAACTTGAGTTGAAAGTTTAACTTCCAGAGTAGCTACTACTTCCAGGGTAGTCTCTATGGATTACTTTATGGATTACTTTACAGCAGCAGCCATTCTTCCCCTGCCCCTTTCCTTGTATATATGTGGTAAACAGGGACGAAGAACTAATCTGATTTAAAATTAATTCCAAGAAGAGTTTCAACCTGTTGAGTTCCCCAATCAAATTCAGATCAGAAAATAAATTTGTGTGCCAGATGGAAAAGAGGGGAGAGGCACAGATGTTTTCTGTGACAATGATACTGGCTTACAAACAACAGGCAGCTGGGACGTAGGGTTGTTTAGCACCTTGAAAATTAGGACTAACAGTGCTCTAGCCTGAGAGATTTGAACATAAGCAAGACAATGTATGCCTGTAAAGGCCATTAATATATTTCATTTAATTGATGAGGTGGCAAAAAATACTAGATCAGTTGTCAAACAGGAATTGGTTTTTTCCTTCTAATGATGTGCTGCCTCCACTTGCCCAAAACACGCATCTCATTCCTCCTACAGTTGAAGCACTAAAACCCTTAAAGATCTCCCTTAATACGTGGATGCAGAAAAAGAAGTTGGTCTCTATTGCTACTGTGCCATGGATAACAAACTGAAATCACCTTTGTGCCCTGCTGGCAGCTGGCAATTTATGAGCCTAAATTGGAAACACAAGTAGAAAGTAATTTGAGGAAAAATAAGGCTCAGATCCTGGTTGCTAAATATAATAGGATCCTTTTTTCCATTCTTACTGGCCTCCTTCCAGAGGGAAAAAAAAAACAAACCAAAACCACAATTCATACTGAAACAATGAACAATAAAAAGTTATCCTTGTAGTTCTTCCTCTTTTTGCAAGGCTGACAAGTCAAAATGATCACAGACAAACACCTAGAGGAGCCAAATGCTGCTTTATCTCCTGATGCTACTTTCTAACCCAGTTAGAAAGATTGTGATTTAAACTATGATTGCATGAGCATACTTAATTTTGCTTCAAGTCTAGGTGACTTGAAAAGCAGTTTGAAAATACTTATGGAAATTATTTAACTTTTTTCTTTTTAATGCACTCTAAAATAACGGACAAGTATTAAGAACATAACCCTGTTTAGCTGTGTAGTCAGGGAAATATTTCCTCAGGATTTACTACATATTTGGCAAAGACTGTGAAAAAATAGGTACAGTACTTGAACATTTGGAATTTGGCCATAACTGTATGTTCTCCATAAAAATCAATTTGCAAAGAATTTTTGTAAAAAGTCAAAGAATTTTATGGGATCTAAATATTTTCTACACCGATTCCTCATGTATAAATTATAAAAGGGAATTCATATTCTGAACCTAAGAGAAACCAGATGCAGAAAATTAAAGGTCTGGGACAACAGTTTAAACTTTCTCTATTTCCCCCTTTCCCAAAAAGTTGTAATATCTGTTGTTTTAGTTTTTGTGACATGGGGCAACCCCTATGTCAATGCATCAAACTGGAATATAGTAAAGCTGTGATGTATTTATTCCAATAAATGCAGCTTGGGCAAATAACTGATTAAAGAGATAAAAGTTCATTATAAATAGCAAATTTTGCCAGTATTGTTAACAAAACTACTCTAAGTCACTTCATTCAAAACTGGTTATGACCAGCTCAGTAAAAGCACGAGTAATTGTCACTTTTATCCCAGCCAGTATCTTTCTGCTGGAAATGTAAATAGGGGAAAAAAATAAAGGATTTAATTAATACCATCCAAAAAAACCCACACTGCAATTTTCTGTTTTATCTACAGGTAGGATAACAATTCATGTTCCTAGGGGAGATTATTTGGAGCAGCTGAAGATTTATTCTCTTGATCACCACTTCACTAATCCACCAACAGGAGCCAGTTATTATTTTTACAACTGCTGATGCGGCAGGCACATTTTGGCAAGCAGTGGCACTACCAATTTCAAAAATTAAGGCTTTAAAGCTCTGTCCTGCAAAGAGCTCTGTGCTTTTTACTTGGCAATTTTTCAGCTGTTATCCCTAATCAAAAAAACATAAATGAGGGAAAACTACCCATGGCATACAGAAATGAGCATCATTTCTAACCTCCTGCAAAGAAGTAAGCGATGCAGGTCCTATCCCCACAGGCAGGGGATGCATATTAATACTCCTGGGCTGCCACAAAAGGAGCCTGTATCAAATGTTCCATTAAGGCTGTACAAAGCAGTCTGCTACATAACCCTAGAAGGCATTCTCTGCTTAAACTCACCTTGAATTTCCACAAAGTAAAACTGAGTAGTTAAAAAACCCAGTAAACTAATGTGTTAAAGCTGAGAGAACATGGTGCTAAGTCAATCAAGACATCTAATGATGTAAGGTCATAGTTTCAAAGCAGCTGCTAATGGAAAACAGCAGAAAGACTCGTTTAGATGTTCCTCTCTCTCACACCTTAGGGTCACGTCATTACACTTGCCACTGATGAAAACCATGGGAAATATTAGGTCACAAGCTAAAACACAACACACATTGAAGCATTCAAGTTTTTCAGGTCATTAAGTAAGAGGATGGTGACATGACAGGCAGCAATACTACTTAAAGAAAAAGCAAACAGCAAATTGCGCTTCCCTTCCATCTTTCTTTCAGCAGTAAAATACCGTAACATATTCCACTAAAATAGCATAGTTGAAAACCAAAATTAGCTCCTCCAACAGAACAAGATTTACCTGATGGAATACAGGCTCTTTCAAATCTAGGTAAACCTGGAAAAATTCAAAAAGAGAAATAATTTGCAACAGAACCATCATAATATTGCCAAGGTGTCTTCTGTTAGAATCAAGCCATGAGTGCCTGTCCGTGCACCATTAAAGTTGATCAAATATTTGAAGTTTCCTCTGGCAGAACCTGAGGTTTTAACTGTGGAATTATTTTAAACTAAGAAGCACAAATATCAATATTAACAACTAACATAAAGCTTCTAATTTAGTAGAGTTGACTACATACAAAACCAATTGAGATGCTGAAGTTACCAGATGTTCTTGATATGCACTGCAAGAAGAAATCATACTCAACTCTAATTTGCTTTTCTTGTTTTTGACAATAATTTAATGTTTCAATTAATTTTACAAAAAGCTTGTAGTTCTTCCTATTTGTAATACACTTAATTTAATTTATGTTCTTGAAGAGGGAAGGGCACTAGACCTCAGGCATAATGTGCCACAAGTGTAAAAAATTTTAGGAGAAATTGAAGAGAAGAGGCAAGTATTTTGGCAGCTGGAGATGACTTATAATAATACTTTAATTTTAAAAGAAATGTTTATCAATAAAAATTACATAGGAAATTCCATCTGTGTGTGGTTGACAGTCAGCATGAAACTGAATTTATTCATACAGGAAGAACACTCCAGTGACAAAGGGAGTCAAGTTAGCTGTGACACAAAAAAAAATTAGAAGCATTTTAACTAACAGCTAAGTTCTTCTCTTATCTGCCTGTTTCAGAACACCAGTCTGCATCCTGGACTGGGCATAAAAGTTCACTTTTTTGCAGGCAAACAGAATGATTCTTATTTCTACAGATGAATTAAAGTGAGAGAAGCAGGAACACAGCTTATCCAAGGTCTCATATCAAGTCACTGGCAACTGTTTTTCTCACATTCCTGTTCTAGCAGCTGGATTATTGCTTTTTTTCCTTATTTATTCTATACAGTGGTTTAGATAGAAAGGTTTTGGGTTTCTCTGGCCAGCAACATAATTTTGTCAACAAAAGAATAATTTGTCTTTCTTGACTGGAAGTGACAGAGATTTAGTATTGCCTCTATAACATTTCTCCACTGCCAGAAAAACTGCCAAGGGTGAAAATGCCATATTAAAAAAGTTACTTACTATGCTGACTACGACGCTGTATGTTATTAACAAGAAAAGCAGCGCATAATTGACTGTATTCTTGTACTTGAAACATTCATACCTGGAAGAGAGGATAAAGGAGAGACACAACATTCATCACTTACCATATAATGGATGCAATTTCCAAGGTATAATATTAGAATTTTTGTGAGAAAATTGATCCAAATTAGTCATAGGTCCCTCAAGAAATTCTAAGTCCTTAAATAAAGACACATTATTGTAAGAAAAAAATTCATGCTCTTACCAGTAAATGTTTTTTAAAAATCTAAGGCAAAAAAACCCTAACACCAATAAGCTCAAGCATATGCCAAGAAGTAACCCACTCTAAGAAAAGAGTTTGTGAAGCAGAAGTGTTTTGAGAAGGTGCTTACAGGGTGATAATGGATGGCAAATTAGAAATTAGTTTAAAATGCAACACAACTGTCAAAAACATTACTGAGCAAGCAGCAGTGTAGGAAAAGGACTGCCTTACAAAACACTGAACTCAGATTTGTTAAAATGTAGATTGTTTCTGGCTTGACTACAGTTGCAGTGCAGTACATTTGCTAGACTGGCAACTGGTATAAGTGGAAGGTAAAAGTACCTGACTGCTCCCAGTATGTAAAACAAACAATTAAAATTACTTTCACGATCTCTACGCTACAACTCAGTCTCAGCTGTGATGGAAATACACACACATCCCAGACTGTATCTACATCAGAAAAAAGGTCTTAAAAAACCCCAACAAAAATGAATTTTGAGAAGCCCATTATCATCAGGGCTGGAGGAAGCTGTCTATATAATTCCAAATTATATCTGTCTAGCTCCTTTTTTTTATAAACTTGGAGAAATAGACACCATCATGAATTGATAAAAGGAAATAAAATCACAACACATATGGGAAACAAAAAGTCTAAAGGCAGTACAATGTGCTACATTGCAAAATGGCTTGCTGAAGTAATTACGGTTTGAGAATCAGCAAAACTGAATGATGTATAAGGGAATGTCCTGTGCACAACCACCTGCAACTTACCTTCAAGCTAACCAAAACAATTATTAAAGGCCTCCTAAACTACACATTAGCTCATTTTTCTGAGCATTTTAATTGCTACCAGGCATAAATACCCAGAATCTTATTGGAGTTATAAATGCAGTAACAGACTTCAGTGCTTTTGAAGATAATAAAGTAACCACTGCACTAAAAAAAAACCAAAAATAACTCAGATGTATTTTTATAGCCACTCCTCATCCTTTTTTCCAATCACATTCAAATCAGACAAATGCAAAGGCAATTTCAAGGAGATAGGGAGCTACAATGGAAATATTTCCACTAAAAGAGGCATTATGATTCTGGTCCTGAATTTGTACAAATCACACTAATGTATGAGTCACAAACTGAGAGCAATTTCCATAGATAGGGGTTTAGTCCTAAAGCATCCCATCTCCATTGCAAGCTACTAGTAATCTTCACCATTTTCAACAGCTGAATATTTGATATGTTCAAAAGCAAAAAGACTTTTTTTTCTCTTTTAGTCTGCAACAAGTTGATCTATCATTTGGATTCACCAAGTGACAGAACAAATCATATTAAATCCAGACCTTGCAGCAACAGGCCAGAAAAAGCCAACTTAGGGTATCTTTACAGTTGTCAAATGCTACATTGCTCCCAAAATTAAATGGGAGAACATATCCTGGCATCGCATTAAGCTGTCATGCATGTTCCAAGACACTATGTCCAAAATATGCATTCAACTCCTCATAAAATCTTGTCCCTTTAATTTTCCAGATGAGTGAAAAGCAGGTTTAGCCAGAAACCTGAAATTTGCATTTCGAGCCAGACTACATCATAGAAATCCAGCTCAAATAAACTATAATGTTGCTAATTTCGTAGGCATTACTGAAGTTGATTTTATTATATCTGCTGTTTTTATACAAGTAGCACTGAGCTCTGATTGTATACTACACATGCTTTAATGAGTGGGGTTTTTTTTTCCCTACTGAAAAAAAAACCCCAACAAACTGGTAAAATATATTTAAATTAGCAAAAAATAGGACTAAAGCCAGCCTGGTTCTCTAATATCATAATGCTGTACAAAAACAGATCTCACTGAAAGTAGTAGAAGCTTTCTGTATATGCTAAATTTGGCTTTGGAGACTACATTTCAAAAGTTAACATTTCATAAATATTCAAGGAAAAAAATTAACAAATACTTACAGGCAGTAGACAAACACACAACAACTGTATATCATTGGCAGTTCATCCAACAGCTATAAAAAGCAAAGACATCAAAACATGAAAGCTACTTTTAACTCACAAGCTTGTCTAAGTTAATTAAGGAGAGGGTAAGTCTTAAGTAAACAGGAGTTTTTAAGTCATTTGGATATCCACGTAGCACTGTCAAACCCTGTTCAGCTACTGAAGCTGCTGCATTAAAACATTATTACTCTGAATATTTTGAATATTATGCTTCATAAACGCCCATGCCTTCAAAGAATCTTTACATTTTTGCAGCTCATACCTCTTAAAATATTTGTAAGAATTAATTCTGTAAAGCCAGGCTGAAGAAGACCATCCCATCTATGGCCTTAGAGTCAGTAGCATCTTCTTACTTGACAGAGAAATTGTAATGTAATATTTACACAGCATAAAACACAATTTTAGTCTATTAAGACGGGCAATATGCTCACATGTTTACTTCCTAATTTTAGAAATTTCTTACATTGCTTTAATCCAGAGACAGGGCTTTTTGTTTGTTTGATGTGGTTCTTTTGGGCTGTTTTGTTGGGTTTCCCCCAGAAATTATGATGGCATATAATGTTTTATTATCTTAAATAATTTTTATACTTTGGGAGAAAACTGGTGTGTTACAGCTGAAACAGTTATTTCTCCAGGAACTTGCCATCTTAATGAACAGACTTAAAATGGTAATCCCAAGAAATTTGATTTCTCAATAGCAGGTAAACTCAAAATTGCCATTTATCATTAGAAGGAAAAAGAATCATAGCATAATTTTCTTGTAAAATTTCTCACCAAAGAACTTTCAGGAATTTCTGCTTATATACAATTAAACTTACCTCCTCTTAAGAAAGACTGAAAATCTTTCTTTCATCAAAATGGGAATGAAACAGGATACAAATGGATCAATGAAGATCCATAGCCTCTGATTTCTAATATGTTAAGCAAACATTAATAGGGCTTTTAGAACTTTTAGAGCTTGACTTCGAAGGAAAACAAGAACTAGATGCAAAAAAGATTTTGACCTTTTTCCATCATCACTCAAAGTTCTTGGTGGCTGTGTCTGTAAATAAATTGCTTTCCTACCACTGCTACAAGGTACTTAACAATGTTATTCATAACCATGTTATTCTGAACAATGAAACTTGTTAAAAGCAGTAAGCAGCATACTCAAACTCTTTTATAAAGCCAGCCTGATTCTGCTTGGTTTGGGATAATTTTCTAACTGCACAGTCAAAAACTTCATCTTAGCTTTGAAATTTCTTCTTTACAGGAGTAGAGAGATTTATTATCTTGAGTGTGAAGTATTAGCTTGTTGTGATTTTGGTCACATAAAGCTCAGGAACTGTTTCACAAAACTGCTGAACAGCTCTGGTGCCAAGCTGCCACTGACAGGGCAGATGTTGCCTCCTCCCCCACACTGCCACTGCTTCTCTCCAGTGGGGGGATCAGACTGGTCTGGCTTCCAGGGAGCCAGGTCCAGGTGCTGAGCCAGCACACAACCAACCTTGCAGAGCAAGGGTAAAATCCCAGGACCTGTGCATTACAGGGTCAGGGACCACAACAGGCAGCACAAAGACAGTAGCAGGAACATTGGGAGCACCTGAAGCTAGCAGGCATGTTCCACGGCACCTTGCCATCACAGTAGTTTATCTTTGCTGTGATGCCATAGAGGGGACAAAATAGCTGAATTCAGCTTTGTAGAAATATATTTTACAAATTCAGAGATGTGCTTTTCCAAGTCTGATAGGCATTAGCTACAGGATTAATTCATGTGGCTAATAAAGAGTGTGAGTCATTTAACACCTCATTAAAGAAAAAGGTGGGGGAAGAACAAGAAATACAATACAGGAAAATCTTTCAAATCTGGGCAGGTGCCTACACTCTTAAGTTCATATGCTGGCAGCATCTCAGGGATATTACAGTAGCAAAAAAGAGCCTCTCAAAAGATCTTAACTAAAATTTGCATGCAGAAGACAATGACTTCTGTATCCAAAGGAATTAATGCTTCTAGGAGTTCTGTCAAAGGCATGCCTGGACAAAGAAGAGCCATAGAAAGAAGGGAACTCAGGGAGCTGATTTCACTGGCTAAATAAGTATTTTGTGCATTCCTCAAAATTCCAATCAAGCAAATTCCCATTAAAAAACCAGAAAAGGGGTGAACTCCTCAGAAGTATTCTAAACAACTGCTTTCAAGAACAGAAGTGTTCACATTTTTCTTAATTAAGCAAATTGAATCGATCATTTACAGTATTAAGACTGCAAAACAAATGTAAATAAAAAAGTCTCCTTGAACAGCTATGCTGATTTTTAACCATAACAAGAGATAAAGTGAATGAAGAAAGTTTATTTACTGGTTGAACTGTTTCTTCCATGGTGATCAGTAAGCAAACAATTGGAATAATTATGGACCACTTGTGGATTTCACTTGGCTGCCAAAATAAATGTACTTTCCCTGCCTCACACGAAGCCTTTTACTTCAGTTGACAAGATGATGCAAGACATTCCTGCTTCCTCATCATTTGCTTCTGCCCCACTTTATTTACCACAGCTCATAGGTCCCTTAGTTGTTCTTATGCAACACAAGAAGTATTGAGCAAGTAGCAGCAAAGTGACTTGGATTAAAATAAAGCCTCTACACACACACAAAACATCCAACAACAGCTGAAAAATAACCCCAACCAAAACCCCCACCTGAAACCCAACCCCACCTAACCCCAACCAAAACCCCAAAAACCCCCACCTGAAACAAAACATACAAAACCCTACAATCTCTCCATTCATAAAAGGTTTAAAGTCTGGATCATTTTAATGATCCTGATTTTAGGGTGACCTTGCTCACCTCTGCATTAGTGTGAGAAAGAGGATTTGAAATACTGGCCATGATAGGAACAAGCAGCTGAGGGAAGTAATATAAAAAAGGTGGAGATTCAAGGCAGTTTCACCACCAAATACAGAAAAATGGCACCCTAATTTGGAAGAGAGTGGTGAAATGGCTGTACAAACCACCTTTTTCATGCCAAGAAAAGCACCAAATACTCTTGAATAGTGACAACAGTATGCTCTGTGGAAGCTGACAGTCTCCACCACATGCCAGAGGTACAAACCAGAGCATTATGGAGGTAAACATCAAACAATCAGCAATATGTAGGTCCCACTGTGATCAGCAGAAATGCAGGATTCAATTCAGCTGCCACAGCATAGTTGCCTAATGCCACCTGAGATGCTCTGTCACTCCCAATACACCCATCCAAGACTGGAAGATGTGAGAAGTCTAAGAAACCTGCACCTCTGTGGCATGGAAGCTGGAGGCTTGAGAGAACACTCACAGGGTCTAAAATAACACTAAACATTTCTGTTTAGACAAATGAATCTTATTTGTGCAAAGATTGCCAGTGCAGTCTGGAGAATGATTCAGCCCAGCCAACTGCCTTTCTCCACTCCGCTGATTAAACTGTATTTCCATTGACTGTGGTGGGAACACAGACTTCTAGCACAGACTTTTCAATGTAGGTTTCTTAATCTTGAACAACATCCCACTTCACTCTGACTTTAATTCAAAGATGCATTTCCTTATTCTTTGCAGACATAAAAGAGGACAACAGGACAAGACTTCCTGTGTCTCTTTAGAAAACAGGAAATACCAGGACAATCTCTATGTCCTGTGCCTTGTTACAGAATGCTGTCTACTTGAAAATAGAGGGAAAATGACTCAATTACCACTACTCAGAAGATACTGATTTCAGTATTAATGCTACAGCTCCATCTAGATAAACAGAAACAAAAAGATGAGAAAAGTTACAATAAATAGCAATAACTCCAGTTTATACTGCTTGCTATTATGCCAAAGCTGTGAGAATTTTAAAATAACATCTTGTGTAAAAAGATAACATGATTTCCCAAAGGATAAAGTGTCCTTTACCACCATAAGCAATTGATGATAGCTCTTATTTTAGATGCAAGTACATATTTCTGTATATAATCAGTGGAAAATACCTACTGAAACAAGACCTGCATTACTGCCTTGTTGAGAGCAGGAGTGATGTACAATGATACTTAAGGTAGATTAACTCATTTTATACAAGTTTCATCTAGACAAGAAATGGCAAAATGACTGAACAGCAAGATACTCACAGAAAATGATTCACAGCTACTTATCAGTACTCACCTGCATTTCATACTTCAGGGTCATGTGAAAGCACCAAGATCCCAATCCCACAGCTGAAAACAAATCAAAACTATCATCAGCATAATAGTATCCATGTAAAATTTTCAGGTACATTAACTTAAATGCATGAAATGCATGCTTAACAGTGAGAAAGAAATTAGAACATCAGCATTCTACTGCAGAGACAAACCCCCCTTTTTCCACAGCCTTCTACTTAATATATTAGTCACCAATGAAATCCCTGAATTTATGGGGCTTTGGGTGTGAATGTCCTCTTTAATTCCTCTCAATACTGTGTCCTATGAATTGGGCATAATCTCAAAGAGGAGAAGAGCAGAGGGAACCCAGAATGAATGGAATATTATATATCAATCTATCTTTTCCCTTTTTTTTTTAATTTTAAGTGAATTAAGATTTCTCTGTTCCAACCCTTCTATAAGGCAAAGCATCATTCAATAACTAGTACTCCTGAAAGCCTCTCAGTATTTCTGCTCACTGTCCAGTTTTAAACATGTATTTTACCAAAAGCTTTTTGTTGTCTCCATAAAACATGGTGCTAATAACACCAAGATCTGGGGTTTGATACCCACAGGGGCTGCTCATTAAAGAACTAGACTCAATGATTATTGTGGCTCCCTTCCAACTCAAGACTATTCAGTGATTCAAAAGCAGAAGTGAATTGCTACTAGAACTCAGAACTAGAAATTCAAGGTAGACAAACCAACCCCACATAGGGTGGATTTGTTTTGTGATATGAGATCACCATTTCCAAGCCTTCTCTACAGAAAGACGAGCTTCTAAGAAATTATTTCTATTTATTTGAAATACTTTCCACATTTTGAATTTACTTCTGAAATTACTTTATGAGACATATACTTTGCCTATACGGTTTTTTCAGTCAGGCATGAATAATGCTTCTTGGAAGTTAGATTGCTCTGTTTAGAGGAAAGCTAGTACAGTATTTAATGCATCATTCATTACTTTGAAATATTATCAGTAAAACACTTGCATCAAACACTAGCTCAGTTTTATATTGCAAGAACAAGTACAGTAATGTGATATCTTGTCTTCCTTCAAGAAATTATGTTTTACCTCAGACTGTAGTTTTAGAGAAAGCCAAGTAATTTGCACTCAAGTCTTGATCACTGAGTAGTGCTGCTATATTTTGTGGCTAGACTATCACCTTGTCTACACACACCAGTCAAGTTTCACTGAGGCATAAACAAGAATTCTATCTCTCTGCACTCTGTAAAGGATTGCCAAGACAGTCAAGAGACATGTCTGGAGATGCTTCCTTAGATGTTATTAACTAAAACTGTGATTATTACACTTACTCAAGGAAATTAAATACCTAAGCATGTAGCTTTACTGAAATACAAAACTGTAATACAAGAACATTTCAAAATGTATTACCAAACACTTCAGTGTCATTATTTCTCTGGGAAAATTAAACAGAGTTCCTACCAGAAAACAAACAACCACACGCACTTCTGTAAATTTTGATTACATTGGTTTGCTTCTGAAAAATCCTTCCAAACAGCAAGCTATAACTGCTTTCACCTTCATTAAGATTCTGATGAGAAATTCTCATAGCCATTTTTCTATGTATACAGAATATGTGACAACAACTGTTCATTCTGGAGGAAAAAACCCATTAAGATCATCATTAAAATATTGCCATCCATTATCCTGCCTGTCACAGCATACAAACTCTTACAATTTGTAATAAATGTCATTTTCAAGTACAGGCAAAATCATTGCATAAGAAATTTCAACAGATTTTAAATTAGCAAAATATATGGCTGGGGTTTTCTTGTTTGTTTTTGTTAATGTTATTTGTGTTAATAAATCTCAACAATCAAGGAATTCCTTTCCTTCCTCCTATACAGTAAGAAGCAATTATTTCTAGACTAATTCTTCTTCAGTCTTTGAAAAAAATCTAGCATGCTGCAGATATTAGTATTTCAAGTTCATTAATCCCATGACTATAGTTAGTTTTTACAGTTAAAATTGATAGAACCCCTCTTTCTTCTGTGCAATAATCACACCTGGAGTTTCTCTGATTATGAAATTTTACTATGCATTGTAGAACAATGTTTTATTTATAGTATCTATATAAAATAGATACCTGGAAGAAGAAAGCTTTCAGGGACAGATCTTATGGTTCCAGGCTCGAGACATTTTTAAGAAATATCTACTTCACAAAAATCATCTGCAATGAGACATTCTGCCAGCTTTGTACTTTTCAAAATATGAGTCATCATGATCACTGCAATGACACAAGTTTTCAAGAGAAGCAACTGTCCCATACAGCCACTGACACACTGAACAATAAATTTGCTCCTTACCTTGTAAGCAGTTTTCATATTTTAGGTGTTTCCTTTGGCAGAGGAGCTTAACTCACTAAAAGCTGCATATTGGTTGGGAAGCTTTAACACCATCTGAAGCAGTAAGTACCATTTCCTCTCTAACTACTGTAACTCATTTTTCATAAATACTACAAGTCACTTGGCATTTTTACATCAATGAACCTCCCAAGTTACAGGGGATATATATAAATTATGTATTAAGCACAGAATACACATTAAATCACAATATTATGAGATCAAAATTGCACTTCAGAAGACTAGAAATGCAAAGTCAGGGCTGCTGCTCTATGCAGACTAACAGGGTCTTTTTCTGTCCTGCAGCAAACACCCTGTGTAGTTACTGCCAGTGGATAAAATAGTGGTGCTATGATGATGTAAAATCAATGCACCTACAAACTTTACTTCATATAAATACTGTCAAAAAACTTATGGGCAATACCAATGGCTAGAAATAATTGAATATTATACAAAAGATCCAGCTCTATATATGAACCCTATGAACCTCCAGGATTTGAATCCTAGAGGGATTTTTTTCAATAATTTTAGGAAGCATCAGAAACGTCATATAATCAGTGATAATTCAGTTTGATGTAACTATTCCATCAGCACTCAAAATTCTCATTATGAACCGAAATCCTTTACAGAAAAAGCAGTTTATTAAGATTTCACAGAAATGGTAACTATACAGGCACTATATGAAAATATTCTGAAGGAAGGATGCTCCAGATGCAAACACCATTATTTAAGTATCTACACATGAACTAGTTGTCAAAGCTTCCACTAAGAAAATGTCATTATTAAGAGTAATGCAGCTGGCCAAACAGGTGTTTTATAACAAGTCAAATGATTCTCCTGACTTTACTGACTGCACTGGCAGACAGAACCTTCTGCACAGGTAGACACATACATTTAGGTGTTTAAATTTGGAGCTAAATTCCATTTTATGTTTTTACAATGACAGAACTTAATTAAAGATAAACAACAACACACTGTACCATTAAAAGTTAAAGAATGAAACAAGATGAAAAAGTAGAATTAAATTAACTACTTTTAATGGATTATATTGTGTTGTAAAGGTTTCCCCTCCACAGCATAAGAGACAGGAGAGACACTGGTTACTCCAGAGGTACAGCTCTGCAATTAACCCCCAGCGTGGCTGGTACTATTCCCAGACACTGTGGTACAAGTGTCTGCACTAGTGAGTTGTTGGAACAGTCTGAGGTATGAATGTGGCCTATTCCAACAAGCACTTTCCCCAGGCAGCTTCCAGGCACAGCCCAGCAGCCGGCAGAGGCTGGGGCCCGTGCTCAGCAGGCAATCTGTATGTGGTCACCTTGTTTTGGAGGCTAAGATCAACAGACACGGGCTGTTCCACGCTGCCTGGCTTCAGCACTCAGGAATGCTCCCAACCACAGCTGATTTAACAACACTGACATGGCCCTGGGAGCTTCTCTACAGGTGTTAGGTAAGAAGAAGGGAATTAACTCTGACTGAAGAGGTTCTAACAACTGTTTTCACAGACACAGAGTTTCACTGGAAATTAGATTTAATACGTTGCTTATTAAGAGTTCCTATGGCTATTCCTAATATAGAAAAATTTTTACACCTTCTTTCTTTCCTCCACTTTGGCAATGCTTGAATTACTGAGCCCTTATTAAACAGGCCAAAGAAATATAAATGAGGACAATCCTTCTAAATTTCAAGTGAAGTATCTAACAAACATTACTTCATCGAGTGCTTTCTTATTTCATTAGGTCCAGAAGTTTCACTTTTTTATATATGTATTTATACACACACACACACACAGAGTTTTTTAAAAATCAAGACCCTTCAAAATCACTGTTCCCCAATATGTATGAGGAACTGGCATGTGTAGAGTCTGATACAACACTCCAGAATCATAAGGAACTACTCTAAACCAACTGCTTATTCCTTGAGGTAGGAATGGTCTGATTTGTTCCACCTACTTCAGGTGACGCAACATACTGAAATAATGGCTTAAGATTAGTCTTCATAATTTATATGCTGATTAAATGGTTCTCTACAGCTTAAAAATCATACCCAGGTCCTACTGAGTTAATTGAGAACATGCACTTTTTGCTGAAAGGCAGCAGAAAAAAGGGCTGAGAACAGTGTGCTGTATCTCAAAGGCCTTGCTGAAAAGTGTAACTCAGTATTGGCACCAGTATGAACAAGAAATTTATTTGAGCAATTATTCAGAAATACCCCTTGTTATGCAGCTAAGATCTTACCATGTATATGAAACGAACAGAACTTTCATTGTGCAAAATGCATTTACTTCAAAAAGGAAATAAATGTCAACCAAAGAGATTGTGGGTATAAAAGGCAAGAACTGAACACGGTGCGGCAAAACACAAAGAAACTGACAATCAGCTAAATGTCTGGAAGCATGCAAAAGAAGCAGCTGATTTGGATCAAAATAATGTCTAGAAACAACACCTCATGTTCTCAAATGCTAACAGATTTAATTTGAACGTTGGCTTTGACAGCTGTCTTTTAGTATCTTGTAAAATCTCAGTAACTATTCAAAATTGCTCAAACTGAACTAAAGTACCCTCCCTTCCACCCCCATCTTCACAGCAGAACTGTTAAAGAATTTCTCCTTTAACAAAAGAACCCTCACTTAGAAGCTCTGCTGTATGGTCTTTAATGAAGCATGCTGTCTCAAGTGAAATCACAAGTTTGTGTTAAATTCGCTATCTTTTCACAGATTAAGTCTACATTTATTTGTTACAAATTAAATAAATAGAGTGAAACCTGTTAATAAATAAAATTCATACAATGTAAAGAATTCTGTCTGATACTCCTTACAAAAAGAATTTTCTGTATACTTACTCTATCTCCACTTCAGTATGCCTCTTGTTCAGTCACATGCACAGAGAGAATGGCAATGTTCCTGACATATTTCAACCATATTTAAAATTCTTTTTATGTTTTCATTCACTGCTTTTATTCTGTAGTAGAGCAAATGTTAAGTGGTTTGTGATTCCAAATCATCTTGTTCCTGTTTTTCACTGCAAACTATAAAGTCTTCTACATTTCTTTACATCTTTCAACTGCTGTAAAACAGGGTTACAAATATTGAAGCAGACACAAAGCAGAAGGGAAACACTTTTGGGAGAGACCTTTAATGTTAGGTTCCAACATATGAGATAAAAATCAAGCCATTTATCACTTCAGACAGGAATCAAAGCCAACTCAGTAACAGATTAGCCTAGATGGAACTCAGGACTGTCTTCCAGCACTGCTGTCCAAATACAGGCTGAGCTCGCTTTCAGCAACAGCAGAGAGAGGAAAAATTGAAATACAAGGTATTTACTGTGATCAAAGACAGTTGGGTTTGCTGGCTTTTTATTTGTTTGTTTGTTTTTTGTTTGTTTTTTTTTTCTTGGTGGGTTTGTTGTTTTTTTTTTTTTGGTGTTGTTTGGGTTTTTTTGCTTTTTAAAAATATTTTAAACATTAAATGGGATGTGAGAAATGCCCATCTGGTGTGACAGCCTGACATTCTGGTCAGATAGTGACTGCACACTCTGTCCATCATAAACTGTCACTGACAGAGGTAGCCACAAATCATGGTGAAAACAGTTTCAAACTAAGTTTTAATTTAAGGGATTCCTTTTCATAGTTTAAAAAGAATGGCAGTATGGGACACTTTGATTCAAGAACACCCAAAGTCAACTTCAGCAAACATTTACACACCACTTCTACCTCCTCTTTTTAAAAGTAAGCCCTGACCTTTAAGAATTCTCTCTGTTTCATACTGAGACAAAAATTAATAATTACATGAAACCATAGAAAGCCTACAAATGGCTTATTAGAAAGTGCTCAGACAATATGAAAAGCAGTGCATTGTTGCTGCCTAGTTTCACATAGATCAGGAAAGCTAATATAACTGAAAACTGATGAATTTGCACCTTGTGTATGTTACAGTTTAACTGGTATCAAGGATACATTTAGCACATGGATATGCATTTTTCTGCAAGGTCCATCCACATACATAACAGGCCAATTTTAAAAGTAACATTTATCAATCCCTTACCACTCCAAAGACTGGGAAAAATCTCCATAAAGACAAGAGCTATAGCAAATACAGAAATCCTGTGGAACACAGAGATTCTATGAAATCTAGTTTTGAGATCCAGCTGCCAAATCTGAACCATCTTCAAACGTTTTTTTCATAAGGAACAAGACTTCTAGTCACATAATTAACATTTAAAAGGAACTTGGTTGTTTTCTGAATTTTGTTATTTTAGAATGGACAGACTTCCCTTGAGTTGATCTAAACATGAATATCATGTTGTTCTTCCATTCTTGCAAAACTTCCCAGACATGATGGCTGGGTGATATATGCCAAAGAGGAACTGGAAACAAATTTGAAGTCATGAAAGAATGCCTTTCCAGTTCCCTCTACATCTTGGCCACTTCCTCTATTACTCTCCCATACAAATGTCACAAAAATACTAATATAGTGTGAAACTGTTTATAAGTAGAATACACAAAACACCTTCTGTAAATGATCAGAAAAGTACAGAGAGCGAGCTAAGATGCACTGAGCAGGACCCAAAGCCAGAAAAGGATCACTTTAAAATCTGATCGAATTATTTAGTGAATTCTAATCTCATGTTCCTCCAAAAGATACAAATTTCTGTAAACATTAACAAGTGTAGCAAATTGAGGTCTACCTTTCACACACATAGTATTTTGGTTTAACTACTTGGTTTATCAATATCTAGATAGATTTTCCATTGCATATCTGAGCTCTCTTTATAAGGAAAGAGCAAATTAAGTTTTACACATACCTGTAAGACACAAATATGCAGCTAAATATCGTTTTTCAAGGCCATCTTTATAGGTCTGAATCGCACCATAGATTGGAGGTAGAATGAAAATCAGGTTACTCACTGTGTTCCCTGTAGGACAGAAACACAAAGCAGAGATTTAGAATTGGGTACTATACACTTTAACTAAATCTAACAAAATTACATTCACTCATTAGAGACAGGTTCAACAGTTTTCATCCAGAAAGTGACCCAGCAAGACACCACTGCTCTCCATCCCTGGTCTAGTGGAACTAGATGGTCTTAAAGGTCCCTTCCCGGACTCTATCCTACATTCTACTCAATGCAAAAAAATTACATATGCTGCAAAGACCAGGGAAAGTAATAAAAGCCAAGAACCCAGCTCTTGTACAGTGATTTAGATTTGGCTTGTTTTTCTTTTCCCAATGGTGCTGACCTAAGCAAAAGTGCAATGAAATCCTGCAAAGTTTAAGTGAAACAAAAGGAAATGGTGCATCTCGCAACAGAAGGGATGCAGATTCAGCTTTTTCACTTAACCACAAATCATAATTTTGAGAATAGAGGTTATGTTATGGGAATTAAATGCCATACAATTTGGAAAAATGAGCAAATCTGTTTAAAAAAAGGCTTATACAAAATAAACTGCACATTTTCACACACCATCAGTTAAATATATATAAAACTGAAATCTAATTTGCCAATATCCCAATGAAATATACAATTTATGAGGTTATGAAGACACCACCCCTCCCCCTCCAATTTCTGTATTTTTTATTCAGCAGAAAATCCCAAAAGCATTTCACACTCTAGAACAAGGAACAAGAGTGAGTAGGTCCTTTCTGAATCACACCCCTAATTCAAGCAGCTATTTTTCAGGAGTCCTACTTGCCAAGATCCATCCAAAAGAAAAGCAAAACATAAAAAAATGTGTTCATATAACCCTAAGGTATTGCAGCACCTCTAAAAACAAAAATTCATACTTCACAATTTTAAAGAAAATTCATACTCAAATGGAAAAAGGTTATTTCAGAACACATGTAGCAGAAATGTACCTAGCTCCATTGAACAAGGTAGCTCTTCTGTATTCTCACAAAGTACATACAAATCTCACTTCGAGACAGCCTTCTCAACCAGTTAAAAATCTCATCTGATTTTTATCAGAACTTCTTTAAATTGCTTCCTTATTGATTTAACATAATATCCTGCCCAACCACGAATTTCACCAAGTTATAACAAGTCAAATCAGATGTGCCAGAGATCTCACTCTTCTAGACAGATCTGAATTATGTTCCTCCATGTAAAAGAAGCCCAGCTGAAAACAAAAACTTCTGTATCAAAACAAATCCTTCTGTAAGGATATACAAGTTTATACCAATATAAAAGGCCTTTTTTGTGCTTAAATCCTTTGTGGAATCATTACTCTTTTACCAGATTCCCACAGCGTTGCAATGGGTAGTAATTCACTTTCAACAGAGATGTTTGGAAGAAATTCACTCAAAAATGCCATTGTGTAACACAATTGCCATGTCCTCCTGTAAATCATGCAAACATGTCATTAAGCCTTGAAAAGTAGAATAAAGGTTACATAGTCTGGATAGTGAAACTTCTGCTTTCTAAAGCAGTGCTCAACTATGCCCATTTTCAAGAGAAGTCAGTAGACATTACATAAATGTCACTTTTCAAGGTCACTTAGTTATGAAACTGTCAAAAGCCTGGCAAAAATTCAAATATGAAAATGCCAAACAAAAGAAATACCATGATGTTTATGCACAATTGGGAAGGCACATGACTGTGGAAGAGAGTTGCAGTAGGATAACAAACTTCAGATGGGTGTAAGAATGCAGAAAACAGATTCTTCTGTAGGAAAGGGAAGGGAAGGTTTCAACACTTCCTGTTAAGCTATAATTACATTAAATTATTGAAAATTTATGAGCATTTAATCTGGGAACATCTTGCTGAGAGAGGAAATACCATAGACCTAATCTAGCTGTACATTCCTGCCACTCCTTCTCTGCACTTTTTGGCCCATATTACTCAGAACATTTGCAGCATGGATTAGGCAAGCCTATCTGCAAACATACTTATTGAAAGTTGTGTACATTTTTTTAAAAGGGGAAACGGGGGCAGGGGAACAATAAAATCCTCTGGCATGCTGCTAGCAAAATTACTTTTTTCAAGAACAAAAACTCCAAGGCCTCTTGCAAACCCAGGTCCCCAGGAATACATATTTCATAAAAGTCTAGCTAGTCTTTATAGGATTATCCTCACACAGAATAGCTTATAAATTCATTAAAAGGGATTTTTACTAATTCCACCAAAAAAATGGCAGTGGGATATGCACAGAGATTAGCAAAGAATACCAAGAAAGAAGAAAAAAGTGACACAATGCAGACCTATAACTCTACAGTTATTTAACAAACAAGGAAGTGAAACAGTTATTTAACAAACAAGGAGGTTGGAAATGGGAAAACAGTTCAAACTGCCAAAAGGAAATTTAGTGAAAAAATATGAATCTTTTTTTTAAAACAGGGGAAACATAATGCAGCAGAGCTCCGTGGGAAAATCAGTGAATGGAGAAATTGCAACTATGGCACAAGGCAGAAGATATGTAAAATAACTAAAGAAGAAATTATTGGTTGTGCCTATAAGAAATAGGGTACATCAGAAATTTGATGAATGCACGTGGACAGACTTGAGCTTAACTCTCTACAGCATTCTTATATTTCACTACTGGATTCTTTGAATACTGGTCCAGGGAGTGACCTAACTTTTCTTTAGTGACCAAAGACTGCTTTTCAATATTTTATCTTATCTTCAACATGTCCATCAAAAGAAAGGCAGACCACATTATCTGGGAGAGAAATGAATGAACTTGCAGACTGAAATGACAAGAACAGGATTAAATATGATGGACATGAACACACCTTTCAATGTGAATATGAATCCTTATTCCATATGTAGAATTAATCTATTTGAAGAGGCAGAAAAGTATGGTAACTGACCATAAACCATCACTGTATGCACCAAACCCCTTACATCTATTTCCAATAGAGGCAGTGAAAATAGTTATGTCTTCATGCAAGTCAACAGTGGAACACACTGTTCTCTAGTTATTGATAAAAGAAAGGAGAAAGCTCATCAGGTGCAAAGAAGCTCCACTCAGATGGGAGTGATGAATGGGAGCCTATAATTTCAGAAGGGACAAAAATTGCTCAGCTCACTGTACAAAACAATGGCTGGATGGAACAAGACTGTGCTCTGTAAAGACATCGTTTGTCAACGCCAATGACAAAAGGGAGCTGTTTGAACTGAAGGATAATACTGACAATGACTAAATAGATATAAACTAACCCTAAATAAATGCAGGCTAGAATAAAGAGGAAAGCTTCCCATTAGAGAGGAAATATTTACAACTGCTTCCCAACAGAAATGAGCAGCACGATGAACCTGCTTTCAGAGTGGAGATCAGGAAGCTCCACAATCAGATTACATGATGCAGTAGCCTACCAGAGTACTAAACCAGACCATGTCCACAAAGATTATACATGGTACTAGGTACAGGGCTAAATTAAGGTTTAATCATGATAATGTGACTGACTGCACAAATTTCCATAAAAGTCTTTCAAGACTGTTTTAATGCAAATCATTGTTTCAAAGTAATGTTTTATTCATTGAGAGAATGCCATAAGGTAGCAGTACAAAATCAAATTTATGCAAAACATCTTTTCAACAAGCTTCTGTCTGTAGGAAGAAGAACCGTATGAGCGTTAAACCACATCTGCTTCCCATTCTACAAATACAGCAGCAAAACCTGGTAAGTCTTTTTCGAATGCATGTGCATTCACAGTCATCTTCAGGCCCTAAGAAATATGTGTGCTATCATTAACACACAAAGATCCATACAAAGACTGACCACAAATACAAACAAAAATAACTTAAAAAGGGAAACAGTTTCTACAGGCAGACCCAGGTACAATATACAGCTTACTGTTGCACAGACATTGCAAACACAGTTAGGAAGGACACAAATTTGAAGTACCTTTCATAAAATTTCCATTTTTCCAAATATGTAGTTAATTCCACACTAGAAAGTAAGTGCTACAATAAATTTGGATGAAGAGTCAAAAGAGGAAAAAAAAGTGAAGCTGTAAATAAGTTGTAAAAGAAGATGGTCATAAAGGAATAATAAACAGGATGCAAAAAGATAAGGAAAAATGCTGGGAGTTAGAATAAAGATGCTGGTTTAGGTGAGGAAGGAAAAGTGCTATCATAAAAAAGAAGCAAAAATTACCATGTTCAACTTTTGATAAGGTGATCAGTGTGATTTATCCTGTGTTAAGAGAAGATTTCTCCTATGTTTGTATACAGAATGACAGCAAGATTCACCAAGCACAAGAATCTTTTCAAATTTTAAAATGTTCTGGCTCTCTCTGTCAAACAAATTAAGATTTTTCACTGTCTTATGGTTTTTAAAAGTCTCAAACCAATAGAAATAAATGTTACCCTCAGAGAGAAAAGAAGAAAACATTTGCTGTTTAAAAAGTTGACTATACATAAAGCATAAAGAGCTCATTTAATATCAGGACTAACAAATGCAACATTCACCACAGTAAGACTTTTCATTATAGTAAGATTTTTGCATGCCACTGTGAAACAGGAGAAAGGTATATATTTCAGAAAATAGCAGCCACTTTCCTAAGTTGCAATAGAGTCAAAGTATCACTTTAAGTAAACACACAAACAAACAATGCTTTGGGGCTGAAAACATCAATTTCATTGTCTGGATATCATGGTGCTCTGCACAGTCAATTCCTGGATCATGTAGCTTTATCTTTTTACATCACTGTAGGAAGAAATTAAAAATAATTATAAAAAACAAAGCCTCTCAGATGGCATCATGTAGAACTTGATTCATCCTTCTATCTGCTTTCAGATATAAGGAATTCTATTTCATGGTTTTGTTTCTGGAATCACCTCACACAGTTCTGGTGCAAACTACAGCTCATTATTAGAGAGTTTACCAAGTTTCAAGAAACTGCAAAGCAATGCAATTCAGCCACATTTGAGAGCATAACCATCTACCATTAGGTATGCTCTCTGCTCAGAAGAAC